AATTTGTCTTTCAGAGGTACATTTTTCTCTTCGAGGAACTCAAGCACAGAGTCGAAAAGGTTCCAGAACGTATTGATGAAGGCACTTTTCGAGAGCCAACAAACCTCAGTGTGTAGAAGCAAGCGACTGAATTCTTCATCGTTGTCCTTGCACAGCTGCTCAAATAATCGATCATTGAGAGCATTACTGCGAATGTTATTCACTGTAGAGATGGCATATTATAAATGATTGATGCAAACGGTCGTAGAGGTTTTTTGCAACCGATTGCTGTCTATGAATCACAAAGTCAACAGTTAAAATACTTCAGTTTTCAACAAAATAAATTGAATAAAATATTTTTTACCTTTTCTGATGAATCACTTTCACTTCACCAGGATATTCGTAATCCGATTCAAACACAAGTAATACATTTATAAGTAAATCACTTTTTTCCTGACACTACTGTGATGCTTCTATTGTTAGGTGGGTTATTGACATATTTAATGCAGATGTCACGTGATGTGTATAAAGTATAAATAAGCAGTATAAAGCAAACCCTTTAGTGAAACATTAATAGAATAAACATATATAATTTACATAAAGTAAATAATGTAATATTTCTGCTGACTGACAGCATAATTTATTTAAGCCTTATCGTGACATTCTCTTGTCATCTTGATTCAGTGTCATGTGGGAGAGAGGTGAAAACATGCGCCTTTCAGCTAAAGTCTGCATGTATGATGCTCATCAGATCATGACACAGCGATTTAGAATAAAACTGCTGATCATTGGTGTTTGAACCCAAGTTTAAATCCCAGTAAACAAGCTGAATATGAGCCAGTTAGCTTCAGAAAGGCCTCCATGAAGGAATCCCTTCCCTTTGGCAAATAGTTATTGTGTGCTTTGCCATAATCCATTATATCCTATTATCAAATTTCATTATTAATCTAAATTTTCAGGTTTGAATAGATGACAACTGAGCCTATTTTACTATTAATTGACTAATATGATAACTAATTCATTTAAATACTCTCATTACTCAATTCAAATCTTAAGGATTAAAATTTTTATTGATAAAAGATAATAATAAGGAAATTGTTTGATTTCTCAAGTTAGTATGAAAAATTAAATAGAATTGCAATAAAACTTGGTGATGAAAAAATTATTGCATCTCCTGCAAATAATTAGCTTTTTCGGCTAGCTATCCGTTGTGTTTAAAAATGTTGCAGCATCAGAGATATTAAGTAACATAAATTTGATACAGAGACCATTTTAACACAGTGTTTTTGTATTGAAATGAGCACATCGAATAACAAATAATGTATTCATTTTTAAAGAATACTTAATTCGTCACAACTCTGTATGTAAGCGAGAGAGAAAAATTATTGGATCACTTTTGAGTAAGTAGGCTGTTTCTCAAGAAAAATACATAAATAATTTCAGTGGAAGACACAATAATGTATATAATATATATGTATGGATTAAGTGTCAGAAAAATCAAACCTATATATTTTTAGTACAGTACAAAGTCCGAAATCCGAACTTGTTGGGACTTCGCCGATTCCGGATTTTTCCAGATATTGGATCATCAGTTTAAATCTAGTAAGATGACATGTAGAAATTATAAAATTAAAAATATGAAATCGTGATTTATGAAATAATGAATTATTTATGATATAAAGGGTAACAAAATTTACCAAAAAAAAAAAAAAAAAAGCTTAATATTTATTTACCTTATTACACATTTCTTTCAATTTAAGTTGTTTAATTTTTTGTGCTAATACTTTCTCTTTAATTCTGTAGACAGACATAATCTCTTATTTAGTTACATTGTTGAAGTCCTGTAACTGCATTCTGACTAACTTGTCAATCGAAAGTTTTTCGTTTTCAGTAACTTCTCTGTCACTTTCTTCTGGATCTAGAACCATACTACAGATTTTGCCATTCATTAATTGATTGAGGATTAAGAAGCATTGTCATCACAATGAAAACCTTCTTTTATATCATCTTCATTTATTACTGCTTCTCCACATTTCTTTACAAAATCCGTTAATTGGAAAATTTCACCTTTGTTTTGTGATTCCGAAAACCTTTAAATTAGCAGCTATCATCATCAAATTTAGCTATCCTTCACTATACATATTTGGCTATGCCTAAACAATCATGAGCTTGTCGACTAACGTCAAGTTGTTCCGTTAAATTTTATCTTGCTTCTATCTCGTACTGAGACAATTAAGCATGAATTTTATTAGTTTAGTTATTTATTATACTTATGTCTATTTCTTGCTCATACTTAAGACTTATCGGAGTTCTGAATAAATAAATTCTCACATATACTTAAGCCTTATTAAGGGCCGACGCTAGATATCTTACTGTCTGATGCAGTCTCTGTCGGTCCTAAATTCTGCCGCTCTGTGCTGCCATAGGAGCCCTGGCGCTGGTTCTGGGTTTATGTGAATAACAAATTAGTTATTCTTAAATTCAAATTGCATTAAATGTAGTCATTTGGCCTATGAGTATCATTAAAAAATCTATTTTTAGTATATAAAAATTTTTTGTTAAAGTTTTCCTCGCCAACATTTTTTAGCGCATTTAACTTAAATATGTAATCATCGCCAAGCGTAATGTCAACATAAAAGGTGTCAAATGTGCGTGCATAAAGCCTACAAGAAAAATGGTTTTGAGGTCCAGATTTTAGATCATTCCGGATAGTGGATGTCCAGATTTCGGACTTTGTACTGTATTTCATTGGATCTCCCTTAATGATGACTGCACATCTGGCACAGACTGGATCATATTCTGTGTGTAATCAGCTTCTAAATCATACCAAATATTCATTAACATACAAATATTCATTAATTAAATTAAAAATACTTAAATTAAAAATACCAAATATTCATTAACATCTCCTGCAATTGTTTTTTGGATTGGGATTTCTTTTCACCAGTCTTCCTTCCTTATTTTGACAAACAATTCTCAGTTGGATTAAGTCTGGGCTATTCTGAAGGCCAGGGTAATACAGTTATTTTATTCTGCTTGAGGTAACTGTGCACCTAAAACAGTTAAACAATTAGCATATAATAAGTGTGCAATATAAGTAATCAGGAAGAAGTAAAAAACAAAATATTTGCTCATTTAACTCTATGAAAAAAGCACCATCTTGCTGAAAAATGATTTCTTGGACATTGTCATATTTTTCTTAGATGGAAAGTTGTAAACGGCCATAAACATAAATACAGTCAAGTCTTTAATCCGGACTCGTCGGGACTTTGGCGATTCCAGATTATTGGTTTTTCTGGATTATAGATCATCAGTTTAAATCTCGTAAGATGGCATGCAGAAATTAAAAATATGAAACCGTAATTTATGAAATAAAGAGCAATTATGATCTAAAGGGTATCAAAATTTACAAAAAAAAAAAAAGCTTAATATTTATTTGTTTACTTTATTAAACATTTTTTTCAGTGTAAGTTGTTTAAGTTGCTTCGTTTTATGTGCTAATACTTTCTCTTTAATTCTATAAACAGACATAATTTCTTGTTCAGTTACAAAGTTCTGCTGTTCAAGTCCTATAATTACTGTGTTGAGAATACCAACTAATTTGTCAATCGAAATTTTTTCATTTTCAGTAACCTCTCTGTCACTTTCTTCACTATCGGAAGCGGTACATCGAAACATGCCTTCGCTTTGTAGATGCTTTTGCAGCTCCAGAATCAGAAACTCTTTTTGACATCAAAAGTTCAAGCTTACTTTTTATAAAATTGCTTTAACAGTTTGCAAAAATAATAAGCAATTAGAAGATTAAGGAACAACGCAATCTGCAACATTAACTGAAATAGATAATTAGATAATTTTACCTAGCCTATACCATCCATTATACTTTAAATGCGCATGCGTAAATGTATTATGTGCATGTGTAAATGCATTATGCGTTTATGCATGCGCAGAAAGTTTGTAGCTTTGAGGTCCGGATTATAGATCATTCTGGATTATGGCGTCCGGATTAAAGACTTTGTGCTGTATCTGCTTAATGATTTCTATTACTAGAAATATGTTTTGACATGGTGACTAGTTTTTAAGCAAATATCATAATTCTCATCTATGGTTCTGAATTAAATCTTTATAATGTTGCACTAGTACATTTTTCAGGGATAACAAATCTTTTGTTTAGCAATATCCCTATTAAAATATTATGAACCGCATTTCTGCTGATTTAAGCAAGAGCTTCAATGAATCTCATCGACATTTGATTAAACAGCTAATTAATATACTTTCGGTTACTCTTGGTTCAAGGATGTTTGCTGTCATTTATATAACGTCACGGCATGCAATGAACTGGAAGTTGATCTGTCAGCACTATTCTCATCTTCAGGGCAGATGTTTTTATTTTATCTGGCTTATAATTCTTTACTAAATGTAGTGTTTCATCTCCATGTACTCCGATATGATTTAAATCAATTTCCTCGTCATTATAAATATCACGAATACGCATAAAATAGTTTTCTGGTTGCAATTTTCTAATTTCGACTATGCATAATGTATGCTTTACGCATGCACGCATTGAAAGAAATGTTTAATAAAGTAAACAAATAAATATTAAGGGTTTTTTTTTTTTTATTATTTTTTTTTTTTAAATTTTGATACCCTTTAGATATTACGATTGCTCTTTATTTCATAAATTACGATTTCATATTTTTAATTGTATAACTTCTGCATGTCATCTTACCAGATTTAAACAAGACCTGAACAGTAAACAAAAATCACTTTGCTTTTAATCCTGCAAAGTCAATTTTTTATCTTGAATTTGTTTGACAGAATTGCCTACTTTCATGTTTTTAGTCAGCTGAAGGAGAATTTTTCCATTTGTGTCAAATTTACTCTCACTTATCTCTAATTTTTGGAAAGCAGCATATTTTTTATGCTTAACCTTCATTCAGAAGGTTAAGCATAAAAAATACTGGAAATTTTATGTCTTAATTTTTAAATATTGTTTTTGTCTAACATCATTATTTTTCTCACAGCCAACTTGGAACAGCACATCTTAGACCTGATCAAAAAGCAAAAGTCATTTTTAATCCAGCAAAATCAAAAGTAATTGCTTTTTTTCTTTGAATTTGTTTTTGATTTCTTCAAAAAAAGTTTGGTAGTTAAATTATTTTGTTATATTAATAATTATAATATATTATTAATATAACAAAATAATTAAATTATTTTGTTATATTAATAATATATAATATAAAATAATATATAAATTATTTTGTTTTATTTAAAATATTTTGAAATGTATTGCCATATGTAAAAATATGTATATTTTCTAAATACTGCTTATATTCTCTAATATTTATAATTTATTCTGAAATCAGATTGGAATAAATGATGAAGAATATCTTGGTGCGCTGCTTAGCTATGATGAGCTGAGTGCGTGGACAACTAACAGATGTATACCATTAGTAAGAGAAATAACTTTTGAAAATGCTGAGGTATGTAATGTTTATTATTAATGTAATGCTTATTATTATTATCCTCAGTATTCTCTAAAATTTAATAACATAAAGAATTTTTTAGATTTTTCATTATTTCTCGAATTTCTATTAATAATTTAACTATCTAAATTTTTAATTTCTAATAAATTTTCTGCATGTTAAGGAATTTGTTACATAAAAAATCATTTTTATCCTATTAAAACTTTTTTTAAGCATCCAAAGGCAAATTCTAATGTAGTTAACTGGGTAGTATGTGATGCACTACTTTTGGATGACAACATTAAAATTTGTTGTTTTAATCATTTGTTTTTCTGGCATTTTATTGTACATTTTAATTTAAAATAGTGTTTTAATGGCACTACCTCAGAAATCTGTAGCTGAAAGTAGATCACATATTACATTATTATCCAAAGGTAATTTAAAACAAGCAACTACACTGAAGGACCAAAACATTATGACCACCTACTTAACGTGCTGTGCAACCTTTGGCCTGCAAAACAGTTACAACTTGCCTTGCCATAGATGCCACAGGTTCTTGGTAGATGACTGGAGACAGGTTGTAGTAAATGTCTTAAACAGTGGTCACGCGAAGTTGAAGTATTCCGAAACGGTGGTGTTTGAACTCTGAGCTGCCGCTGTGTGACATCCCAAACATGCCCTATTCGGGTAAGATCCAGCAAGTTAGGTGACCAGGACACTAATTGGAATCCATCCTCATGCTACTTGAACCACTCCAACACAATTAAAGCTTTGTGACATGGGGCTTTGTCGTGCTGGAAGATTCCATTTCCAGTTGTGAGAAGACAGATGCATGTAAGGGTGCATCTTGTAGTATGTGACGACTGTTTGGCGATCAACTAAGCATGTTTTGCCTCTTCTACCAAAAAGGCTGCTCTATTTAGAGAAAGTTGAAGGTTCACTGCAGAAGAGGGAGCTGCTCGATTATTGCATATTGTAAGAGTGATGTACTGCTCCGAGTAAAATTATGCCTTAATGTTATCTTAATAAATGTTTTGTCTTGTCAAATGGTGCCTTCTTAGCCATGAAGCATTACAACATGCTGTGCATAACAAGAACAAAAGCGTTGGAAACGAAAGTAGTGCCTAGCATATAAAAGAAGTTTGCATTTCTGAATGACAGTAAAAGCCTGAGAATTATTTAATTCTGAAGTTTGAAAAGTTTTTTTTTAAAGAAAAGAAAATGTTCAAAAGCATGAAGAAAAAAGATTTGCTGACTGTTTTATTGGAAATTGGCGAAGAAGCAACTACAGATATGAAGATGGCAGAACTGAAACACAAACTCCAGAGTAGCAGAGAATATATTGAAAATACTGATTTTGTGAAAGAAATTTTGATTACTGCAATGGAGAAGAAAAGAAGAAATCGAAAGAATACAAATAGAAGAAGAGAGATTGAGAACAGAAAGAGAACACTAAATAGAACTAGCAAAGATTTGAGCAACTCAAAAGGAAGGAAGTAGAAGTTAAACACCTTCAATCCCAAATGCAGGTTGAGAAACTGAAATTTCCCTCGATAAGCTGATGAAAGGAGTCGAAACATTGACGATGCCAGTACCGAAGAAAGCTGAAGCATGGAATATATTTTTCAATTCTATCGAAAGAGCATTTAAGCACAAGAAAGTTCCAAAAGAATTCAAATTTATAATATTTTTGAAGCTAATTGGAGAAAAGCTTTAGATGTTCTCATTTATATAAAAAATGAAGATATCCAAAATTATGAAAAAGTTAAAACTTTTATTCTGAAGGAATATGGACCTACTCCTCAAGCCTGCTTAGAAAATTTTAGAACTAAAGGTTATTCCGGCGAAACACATATCCAGTTTGCTTCAGAACTAACAGCTACATAGGATTATTACTGTAAATCAAAAGAATTAAACAATTTCGAAATACTCAAGGAGTTAATTATTTCAAGCTTTAGATGGAGAAACAGCTGCATATGTGGCAATAGGCTAAGGAACTAAATGGTTGAAGCTGCAAGAATTAGCTAAAGAATGTAATATCTTTTGCACAGTGAAAGGAAAATTTTTCGACGAAGTCCAAAATGAAATTAAATTATCACCGTGATTCCTGGAAGCATCATGTACACAAAATAAATATATTCCACTGCACGTGAAGAGAATGCTTAAAACAAGAAGGAAAGCGCACAAGGAGAAACGAGAGAAGAAAATGATATATTTGCGGAGGATATCAATACATTGCAAGAGATTGCCGAGATAAAAGAAGAAAGAATGAAATTGCAGTAAAGAAGGGAAAAGGCAATCCCCAAATTACTAGAAATTCAAATAAAACATCAAAAGAAGAAGCCATTGTTTCTAAAGTATACTCATCACATCTGTGACCCGAATTTGAAGACGTATAGTACAAACATTGCAAAAAGTAGATGTGTTTAGTAACTCAAAATTGAAGCTATCTTGGACTCTGGAATGCAGATAACGATGTTATATTCATCGCTCATTTCTGAATTAGAAGCCAGAGAAAGAAGTAAAATCTTGCTACCCCTGATTTCAGACAGCTGATTGAAGCAAAAGTTTGCCGTGTGCCTATTTATTATGTGAATCGTGGAAGAAATTTATTTAGTGGAAGTAATTTATTTAATTTTGTGGATACATTAATTGCAGTGACTAATAAGCTAAATGGGCCTTGTTTAATAACTCCAGAAATATGCGAACTGTTGATTAATTCTGCTGGAGAAGAATCAAACATAGACATTTCAGAAAGAAATCATTCCGAAGGTGAAAACTTGCAGAGTATTTGCCGAAGTGCAGACAAAATGAGAACATAGAATCATCTATTTTCATGGAAAAGTCCATGTTAATAAATATAGATTCCTTTGTTTATGTATCGGAGGCTTTTCATTGTTCATTAAATTCTTATTTATGTATTGTATTAGATTTAAACTTGAGGCAAATGTAGTAATCATTAATAAAGAGGTAGTTCAAGGAAAGAAGTTAAGGTCATATATATTTCAGTGCCTGAAGCTATCATTTGCAGAGTGTGATCATGATATGGCATTCATATTCTACTAGAAATATTAAATAAGTATTTGAAAAAGTTTGTTATGTAAATTTGAAGGTATGGTTTGCTCCAAGTTATTTTGGATAGTTAAAGCATTTTTTTGACAATATTTATTTTCTGTAAAGATAAAAATGCAAATATTTGTGTTAACAATGAAATTCCTTGAGCTTGGTGCTTGGAGCAAAAAGTTTGAGAACCCCTGTAATAGACAGTTGGATTTGTCCTGCTATTTGTCAGTTTCATTTTAGTTTATACCTTATGGTTGTATCTTGGACTATATTCTCAGTTATGGCTCATGTGGTGAATGTATAAGTGAGCTCATCATGGGGTGAATGTGTAAGTGACTAGCGTCTGTTATTGAGATAGTAAGACATAAGAGTTTATTTATGCTTTAAAAATGCTTATTTTTTTCACATTTTTGTTTAAAATCTTTTTTTTAAGTTGAAAGAGATTGATTGGATTAATTGATCTAAGATGATATGCATTTAATTAATATGTATACATATGTGGCCTACTGTTTGGTGAGCAGAATGACGTCTACTAGTTTGATCCATGTTCGAATCCTAGCGCAGGGCAAGCTGCATGTGTATTTTAGGTTCTTCCTTAAAATGTGACTCGGTTCCTCTTAGAAATCCTGCGAACGCATCTCTTCATTTAGGAGACTGTCCTCACAAGCTTTGTCATGTTTGAATAAAGTAACTATGCATTGAATATCACTTATGTTCATGCACTGAATATCATTCATGTAAGCACAACGAATATGACTTAGTGTAAATATGGGAATCGCATAAAGCCCTCACAAAGTGAGGGACGGAATGAATCATTCTGAATTACTCTACATTACTAAATGAAAGTAAGAAGAAAATAATTTTCCTTAATTTATTAATTATACCAAACCAAGGTATTTGTTTTCTTTATTTTGTTATTAGGAACTTACAGAAGAAGGTTTACCGTTTTTAATATTGTTCCATCATCCAGATGATACAGAAAGTCCTAAAATCTTTACCAGAGAAGTCCAAAATCAATTGCTTGATGACAGAAGTAAGTATTTGACTTTGTACTTTTTTATTAAAAAAAAGGACATAAAATTTTATATTTAATTTTTTGCAGAATCCTCTTTAAAGTGTTCATTTCTTATTTTTAACTGTTTTAAATATAAATCATGTTAAAATTCGTGTAATTTTTAAGCCATTACAACCACATATCAATAAGCTTTATTGACAGTGTTAATTGAAATTCCAAATTTATTTTATAAAGTATGACAGAACTTTAGTATATTTTATTTTGGAATAATGTTGAATAATGATAAGTCTTTAATTCAAAACTTTTGTTCAAATCTTGGAAACTTGCTTCTAAAATGTAGCAAGTTTAGAATTTATGAAATTTGTGTAAAATTTTGCATTCAAGGTTGTTAATCCATAGCTGCCAACTCTGTGAGCTTTTCATCGCATCTCTTGGGAGTAAGGGAAACATTTCCCGGTAATAAGTGGAATTTACTGAAATGATCTCATGTATAGTGATTTTCTGGGCATTCAAAAAAATTTACCAACAATCTCCATTTATTAATACGTTTATGTGCAAGAATCTACATTTAATCATATAGTCATGTACAAAAATTTATATTTATTGGAGTATAATCGTCATCTTCTGGAGTATTTCTCACAAAGTTTCAAAATTTGAATTCAGGCTTGAATTTCTTGCAACTTCTATTTTTTAAAAAAAATCTTCCTGTAACCATTGTTCCTAATCCCTCATGTCTAGCAACAGAGCTTTCCGTAAATGAGCACCTTGTCTGTGTAGCGGCTCATAATGCTGTTGAAAACACAGCTTTCAGCGAGTTTTGTTCCATGAATTCTTTACTCAAGTTATGATGTTTTGCAGGTTAGACTTCATAGTTTCTTTACCAATTTTACTCCATTTTTTTTTTTTTTTTTCCCAGTGTAGTTAATGATATCTAGCCAAAATGTTCATTGATTGACTCAAAAGCATAAATGTCTAAACACAATTAGTCACCTTTCTTGTCTTTGCAGCAGATTTAGTGATAGAGCTTTCTTTCCAGCCATATAAATTGCTAAAATATGGGTAACACATGTACTTTCATCAAAGCTATATGTACTTGATAAGGCCCTAAGCTATTTGAGATATGGAGCTCATTATAAGTCTGTTATACTGTATTTGAATACTATATTTAAATTTTTGGGGGCCCTTAAGATATAGCTTATACATAAATCCTGCACTGACTTTCATAATCAGTGCATCAATAAGGTACCCCTTAGTTCAATTATCATTTTGAGATCTTAAGCCACAAACACTGCAGTTTTAACCATACCATTTATGTTGGAGAGCAGATATTGAGGAAAGTTTTAAATGCAAATGGACAGTTAATAATGTCATAGACTTCTAGCTTGAAAAATATTGTGAAGTTTCATAGAGATTTCATATTTTGAAGGGAAGTATCTATCCAAAGATCTGATACTTTGAATATTTCTGGAGATGCATCTAACTTGGGTGTCAACTGCAAGTACAAATGCTTCAGTATCACTTGAATTAACAACAAAATTATTGCATTTCTGTTGATAATCCATTCAGCAACAATGTCTTCAAACTAATAATAATAATAATAATAATGGTTACTGACTTGATCCACACTCAGATTAGCAGTTTTTTAGTATTGCCCATATCCTTGTATGAACAAAATTATTTTACTTTGATCTATAAGATTTTTGCCTTGGGTATCCATGATTCCTTCATGTACTGAGAATGTTGGACTACACAAAAGTAATAAAAAATTAGACTAAAAATTCAGAAAATGTTCATTACAAAATACAGTCATTAAAACAATGCAGTGTATTGAATTGTGAAGATTCTAATTAATCAGTTATATCCATTTATTATCAGTTGCATACGTGTTGTGTCTGCACACCAATTGGTCATTTGACAATAAGTTAGGGGTCTGTGTGACTGATGATCTTAACCGAGATTTATTTTTGAGATAGGTCTTACATTATGAGCATCCTGAAAAATTATTCCAGAGTTGACTTTCAGATTAGGTGTTATTTGGGGGATGCATGGTATTAACAAGAATTTGAAAATTGTGAAAACATACACCTTGAAAAAGTTTCCTTTGAGTTTTTCAAAAACATTTATAAAAACCAACTAGAGAAAACACAGTGGCCTTTCTAGTTACTGCCTTCTTTTAGATGTTGTGTGTAATAAAGAAGTGCTGGCTATAGATATTAATAACTGCCGTAGGGTGCATTAAAGCCAAAAAATATACAGTAGAACTCCAGTTATCGGAATCAATTGGGACTATTATTCGGGTAATTTGATTTTTTTTTTTTTTTCGTAGAAAATGTCTACATACACACTTAATTACAGTATGTACTGTGTGTTGAAAATGGGAGAAAAAACTATTTTTAAAGAAAAAAGAAAAAGGTTTTAATTAAAATGAAAAGGCTACATTTCTGTGTACACGTTATATAGCGTACTGCACAGTACTTACACGTGCTGAAAGTCTTTGCTTGATGAACATCTCGGGCAAAGTAAGCTGTTTGACGGACACAGTGCCTGCACCTAAAATTTCTTAGCCAGCCATTACTTGCTTTAAAGGATGAACAACCAAGCTTCTGAGCTAAGGTCTTGGCTTTTTCACGAATAATCAGACTCAAAATTCGGTTTCCCATAGAACATTGTTGCAAAAACCACTTGAAAACGACACCTTCTAAATTTTTGTTTGTTGCTGCATTGATTTTCTTGACAAACTTTCATCTTCATTTTCAAGCAGTGACACAAAATTTAAAAGTGTAGGTTTGCCCCTTTCAATGTCTGAAATCATTGATTCTCCAACACTATGTTTCCATCTTGATTTTTTTTTTTTCCTTTAACTGTGAAAGTGATTTGGATAATCAGAGATTCGGATAATTGGTGTTGTACTATACTTACTGTAATGACTCTTTATTTTAAATCTCAATGGTAAAAAATATTATTATACTATTTAATTCCTGGCATTTTTTACTAGCATTGGTTAATTTTCTAATTGCTGATGGTGTGAAGTTTGCTCATCCTTTACATCACTTGGGAAAGACGCAAAAGGATTTACCACTGGTGGCAATTGATAGCTTCCGGCATATGTATCTTTTTCCAAAATTTGAGGACATAAAGTAAGTTTTATATTTTTATATTTAATGTTCCATGTGAAATGTATGTTGTGTGTGTATTGTTTTTAGTGCTTCATAATTTTTTACTTCCTAATGAAGTTACTGCTAGATTTTGTGAATAACTAGATTGAACTAAGTAGTTTTAGCCAGGAAAATAAGTTCAATCCAGTTATTGATAAAACCTGACCAAAATCAAGGAAAGAAAACTAAATAAAATGAAGGTGTAAGCAGTGAAATTATTGCATTTCAAATGCATTTTGGAAAGAAGTAAAATGAAATGTAATAGAAAAAAACTATTTTGCTGGTTTCATTAATGTTACAGTAGGGTAATGTTTTTCAATCGTATATAGGTGTTTTATTGCATGTATACCAGTTGTTGATAATAAATTAAGATTGTTTAATTTTAGTTTACCTGGAAAATTAAAAGAATTTGTATTAGACTTATTTTCTGGGAAATTGCACAGAGAGTTTCATTATGGCCCGGATCCAGTAACAAGTGATGTAAGTACTAGCTTTTCCGAATTCTTCTAAATTGTCATTTTTAAAGTACATATTTTGTTTATTCTAAAAGTATATATTTTGTTTCGGATTTAGATTTTATGCAGAATCGGATAAAATAAAATTTTTAGTTTCATCTGGCATATGTTTTTTTCTGTTTGAGAGGAATATTTTAAAACTGATTTGATTTAAAAACTAATATTTTGCGGCTTATTTCTTCACAGTATAAAACATTGAAAGCAAATAGTTTATTGGTACATTTTGTTTCAGAGATAAAAACACTTTAAATGGTTTCATTACTTTATAAACAAGGTTTGACATTATAAATTCTTTTATGTTGAAGATTATTTTTTCCTGCTTAGGAGGATAGAAAAGTTATCTATCATATGGAAACATTGTATATATATTCAACAGATCTTATTATAAATGATCATTTTTATGTAATTGTTCTATTATTAACTATATTTCTTTATGAATTTATTAGTTATTTGTTATAAGTATTATACATTTACATATCAATCAGTGTTAGTAAATGGTATACAGTACAAAGTCTGTAATCCGGATGTCCATTATCCGGAATGATCTATAATCTGGACCTCAAAGCCACAAACTTTACGCATGTGCGTAGAGAATGCGTATACATTACGCATGCTCGTAAAGAATGCTTTACTTATGCGCGTGTTGAAACAAATGTTTAATAAAGTAAACAAATTAATATTAAACTTTTTTTGTAAAATTTGAACCCTTTAGATCATAATTGCTCTTTATTTAATAAATTACCGTTTCATATTTTTAATTGTATAATTTCTGCATGCCATTTTACCAGATTTAAATTGATGATCTAATCTGGAATCGCCGAAGTCCCGATGAGTCCGGATTACGGACTTTGTACTGTACAAAATTTTGAAGAATAAGATTTCTGAAGCCTTTATCATACTTTGCATCTTTTGGTAAACATGCGTTACAAGTTGCTTGTCGTATAACTTTCACTCACTGCTGTTGAATCCTGTCAGATTATTTAAATTAATGTTCTTCAGATTGTTCCCCCCCTTTTTTTTTCTGTTTTAATGATGTAGCTAGGTAAAACAGAGAAGTAACTTTTGGAGCTGAGGATGAAAACTGCTGTGGTATGGTGTTAATGCTTCAACAGTGTGGTGTTGAACTTCAGTGAAAACTCAAATGATGGAACACCGTATGAAAATTTTATCGAATGCCCAAAATCAAAGACTGCATACCATCAACAAGAGAAAAACCTATCGTCCTTTTCTTTTTGAAACAAATTCAAATATCTCTACATTTTACGTGCAAGAGCAATACATGGCTCTCGAGCTTGCGTTTGAAACAATGCCAATATATTAATATTATTTTTAAAACAGTTAATTCAGCTTAACAACTATTGAAAACGTATTCGGAAGTTAAATAATAATAATATTCATCTTATGCTCTCGAGACATCCTTGTCCATATTAAGCTTCAGTTTCTTCTTCCTTTATGCAAACTTATCACAACTCTCCCTCATAAAGAATTTTTCCTAGACTATGGAAGAAATTTTAAATACTTCACTGCTGGAAAACACAAGTGGTAACCATTTAAGTGAATAAAAGCCAGTTACAGTACTGGCACTATTTCTAGAACCTCATTGAGACAAATAAACATAAAAACAAGAATGCAACAAAAATACATTCCTCTCATCTGCATCAGAATTGCAAAGTAACGGGTGGCCATAATTAAACTGACAGTGCTCACAGTGTTCTGTAGCGCGATCTATTTGCGAGAATGACGCCACATTTTGTAGGAAGATTAAACAAGACTGGGGATGAAGGATTCCGCGAAAAAAAAAAAATAGTTCCAAAAGTCACCACTAGGGGAATATTTGGTGCTGTGTTGTAGAAAATAGTGTTCACATAAGCAAATCAATACGGAAATTATCTTTTATTTTTCATTTAAATGAGTTTCAATGGGGCTGCTGTTGTTATGGACCACATATTGCATTCTGTGCACAGTATGCACAACAGCCAGGTCCTGGACTATTCCTTGATAGACCTTGGACTTAAGGTAACCCCATAACCAGAAGTCACATGGAGTAAGATCAGGTGGCCATGCAGTTGGAAAGTAGCGGCTAATGACTTTCTCTGTTGTGAATTTCTGTCGTAGCATTTGTTGCACCCGTACTGCAATGTGTGGAGGGGCTCCATCTTGCATGAAAATGATTTCCCCCAGGCATTGTCTTTGCTGAAGTGCCGGAATGACAAAGCTGTTCAACATGTAGCGATATTCTCTCCATAACAGAACAGGTTTCCGGTCCTGTCGGGGTAATGTTCTCATAGAAAATGAACCTACAATAAATTCCGCTGTGAATCCACACCAAACAGTTACCTTTGTGAATGTAGGGAATTGCTGTGACTGCATGTGGTGATGTGTCATCCCAAATTCGGCAGTTCTGGGTATTCACTGTTCCATTCAGGTAAAAGTGGGCCTCGTCTCCCCATAAGATTTCGACGGCCAAGCATCATCCACCTCCATTCTCGCAAGATAGGTGAGAGCAAAAGTCAATCGCTTATTATGGTCGGGGTACAGTAACTCCTGTATTCAGCTAATCTTGTACGGATAGAAGTTGATAATCTTTCCTAAGATTTTCCATACTGTACTGTAAGGCATATCCATAATAAAAGGTAATTTTATTCCGTATTAATTTGCATTTGTTAACACTCTATTTTCTATTACACAGCTCCAAATATTTCCCTAGCGGTGACTTTTGGAACTAATTTTTTTTTTCGCAGAATCCTTCGTCTCCCGTCTTGTTTAATCTTCCTACAAAATGTGGCGTCATTCTCACAAATAGATCGCGCTACAGAACACTATGAGCACTGTCAGTTTAATTATGGCCACCCGGTACATTCCTCAAATTTTACAAAATGCTAATACTTAACATAAAACATTTGATTCTAATAATTTTGAAAATAAAACACACAATGCAAACAAATTTAAATCTACAAAAATATAATTAAAAAATATTACAAAAATCATTTACAGCAATTAACCGTTTTCTCAAATCTACCTGAGTTGGATCAGCCAAGGAAAAAGGAATATCCACTTCTCCCTCAATATCTTCCATGACCTCCTCCATCACAAGATTCAAAAACTCGGAGAGCTGATGATAAGGTTTCATCAAATTTACATGATAAATAATAATGATAAATGGTGTCACTGCTACGCTTACCTGAAATCTCTACCATGTAATTGGTTTCGGAAATCGCACATTACTTTACCTGGCCTTATCCAGTTTACAGCCATTTTGTGTGGCTTAGACTTGGCTAAAACGAGCACGAGGTTTCCGACCTTGAACCTTTTCGTAACAGTGTTGCGATCATACCAGAGTTTCCTTTTACTCTGACACTCTTTCATCCTCTCTACAGCCAGCTCCTGACACTTCTTCAATCTGTTTATTTATTCTTGAACGTACTCGACCACAGTGGGGTCTGAACTTTCTTCCTCTAGCCAGTTTTCGTACACGATCATTTGAGGCGTTCTCAAATTTTTCCATGTACTAACTCGCAGGGACTAAAACCTGTCCTCTCATGGCTAACAGTTCTGAGGGCGAACAAAGCACATGGCAAACACTCTTCCCAGTCCTTCCCACTTTCCAAGCACAAAGCCTTCAATACCCTGTTCAAGGTGGACTGCAACCTTTCAACAGAATTGCTTTGAGGGTAACACACAGAAGAATGATACACATTAATTCCGAACTTGCTAAAAATCTCAGATGTAAGTTCACTGGTAAATGATCTACCCAAATCACACTGAATTCCCTTAGGGTAACCTGATCTAGAAAAGATTTGTATCAAGGCTTGAATCACACTTTTAGAGCTTAAATTCTGTACAGGAATGGCATCTGGATATTTGGATCCTCGCAAATTCTTCAATTTACTGGTAACAATTAGGCCAGAAATAGTATGTCAAAACTCTATCCTCGGTTTTTGTTACCCCTAAATGACCAGTAATTTCCTCGTGGCATAACTTCAAGATCCCTTTCCTAAAAACGGGAGGCACACACAGCTGAAGCTTATCTTACCCCTTTTTAGAACCTGTCACTCTTAATAGTCTTTCCTTGACAATTATAAACTCTTTCGTTTTCACTTTCCCCTTTCTTCAACAGGGCCACTAAACTAGCACAAGTTTTTTGTGCTTACGAGAATGCTGCTGGCGAAACATCTGCAAGGATAGACCTTTCTTCTAAACTGATGTCTGAAACTTTAATGGCCTCATCCGTATTACTGGTTAACTTCCTTTTTTCCAAATGCTCATTATTCACAACCCTTTCACTTTCTATCTTTCTCTTCTGCCGATCTGGAATCTAAGCCTTCTGCACTCACTCTCTCTAAACTCCTGCGTGCATGCGCCTGACTACGAATCTCCACAACATGCAAGAGAACCGGTCGTTCCCTAATTTCCTGCATCAACTGTGCAGTTTTATTTCCTAACAAATAGTACTCTTTATCTAACTGTACCAGAGTAACTGCTGCCTTTGTGGTGACCACACCAAAATCATCTTCAATGGTGACTTTCGCCAAAGGTAAACATTTACATTCTGTGTCCAAAGGCTGTTTCACCCATACATTTTCCCTTAATAAGTCACTAGTATTAATTCAAGTACTATTACACAGATCTATTCCAGCTCCAGTATCTTTCAGATATTCTCTCTCTATCCCATTAATTACTGCTTTCTTGAGATATGGCTCAAAACATTTTCCTAAACTCTCCGTTCCTAGATTATTCACCAGATTAGCCTTATTCTTTTCCAGCGATGGACGGTTAGATCGAATATGTCCGTCCTTTCCACATTGGAAACATCTTATTTTACGCTGTTTCTCAAAACCTGCTTCATTGAAAGCTTGCTTTTTTTTAGGAAACTCCATTTTTCTATGCTCCTCTGATTTAATTCTTTGATGACCACTACTTTTCTGATTATAACTACCATTGGAATTTACATACCGCTCTCTATCT